GGGGGGGGGGGGGGGGGGGGGGTTGTTGCTGCTAAAGCTCAATGAGACACATTTCTTTAGGATCGTCACGGGCCTACATTAAGTTCCTGCAGTTTTGCATAGCATGGGATAGAGCAACCAACCTATTTCTGAAAGCATCCAGCATTTCATTTTTTCCATTCCTCGTCTTTAATTTATTTTCCTTTTAGGGTAGCTGAGTTTTACTTTTTCTAGGTGGTTAGAGGTTTTTTTTCCAACCCTTTCCTCTGTTTTCGGTGTTTTTCTTTNGGGGGGGGGGGAAGAGAGATCTATAGCCTTATTACAGGTTCAACTCTCCCAGATGTCAGGATAAAGCCCTCATTTCCCATACAAACTTTGTTGAGCTGTGCAAGAGTGCTTACCCAAAAGTATAGATTTAGCTCCTAGACAATTTTTCTGTGTTCAAAGCTCAAACAGTAATTAACTGAACAATGTTAAATTTAGCTTATAAGCTGGTCAGCAAACACAAAGATCTACACTCATGTCAACTGAGTAAGGAAAAGAGACTGACATGGCGAGATTGAACTGCTTCATTCACTTGGCGCCTCACATCCTCCACATGACCCTACAAGCAAAAGAGGCACAGTCAGACTGTAATTCAAAATTGAAGCCATCTCATTTGCTGTATGATTCAATTTGCCAATATTGGCTCAGTTGAACTAGCCGCCATGTTCAAAAGGACATTATCTACGTCTAATAATTATTCCTTTCGTCATCATTATTGAATAAACAATTGAATATTCACCACAGAACATGCACTTTCAGACTGCATAAGGGAAATTAATCTATAAATAGAAGAATGGGATATATCAGATTTTAGGACAATGGGGATAGATGTAATTAGATAATTCACATCGAATAAGTGTGGACATGTCCGCCAGATAAAAGTTCCAAAACCCTACTGAACACATCCAAGACTCATGCAGCAACGCCTTGCACGAGAGTACAATAAAAGGCATAAGGGATTATTCTAGTCTTTCTAGCTGAGGATAAAATTTTGTCATGCCCAGAAAAGCAGTAACCTACACCAAAGCGTAAGTTCATACCCCGCATCCACTTTGTGGTTGATGTATCATAATACGTGCATTTGGCATTGAATATCGCATGCCCTTTTCTCCACCAGCAAGAAGAAGTGCTCCTTGGCTTGCAGCAACTCCAAAACATACTGTCCCAACCTTTGGCTTTATCTGAGAAAAAATTACAGCAGATACTAATATTACAATGGGATAATCTCATAAACAAGAGGAGGCAAGACACAAGCTTAATGCATACACTTTGGAGACATTTCAAGAGTAAATCCCTGCTTATGTAAGTATTTATTTGGACACCAAATACCAAGTTAATTCTAGTGACAGAAAAGATACGCAAGAATTACACAAGTGACACAGAGACGCAAATAGACTTAGCTTTTCTTACCCAAGACATGCAATCATAAATAGCCAAGACGGAGTAGGTGCTCCCACCTGGGCAGTTCAGGTACACCTAACATGGTAAGAAATGTGGTAGTAAGTGTAAATAATCTGGTTTCATATTTAATCCTAGTATCAAAGTACAAGAGCACAAGCTACACAGCAAGTTGCAAAAATATAACCACACCAAGATATCGGCGTTCTCATCTATTGTTGCCAGAGTCACAAGCTGTGATATAACCCGCTGAGCCACCTGCGAGTTGATTGGTTGTCCAATGAATATAATTCGGTTCCTAAACAATACAGTGGAAAGATCCAAAGGTCCTCCTGGAGTCATCACAGCTGGCATGACAGGTGGGTTGCCCTTTTTGGCTTCTATAGCACCATAACTGTTCCCCAAAAGAAAACTAAAGTTAAGAACCTATCCTTCTACTTAGCAGTGTTGACTGTTGATTACAACAAAAAGCCATTAAAAATTGTCAGATATATTTTTGACTTGACATTGACAGACCAAGAGGATTTGGCATCCGTAAAAAATAACATGACATTTATCAATTCTTGAATCACTTTTGTGTAACTCAAGGGGCAAAAATACACAATGCTTTCCAATCAAATTCATTGTCTCTGTATCACTCAACCGACGTGCTACTATGACCAGGACCATGCATTTCGACCATGTCACCTTTTATGCCAGACTTATCTGAAAGCACCAATGAGTGAAAAGGTTAGAACTTTGATTAGCACTGCAGCCGCCCATAAGAAAAACAACAATTTGAGTGTGCCCCTAGGGTATCTACAAGATAGAGAACCAATTCAAGTGCACACACAAGAATAATAATACAATACCTATGCTAAGCACATCTACTCTCTAATTTTACCTACTAGAACTGTAATCTTCTGTCATTTCTCCTATGGACTTTGAATATTTTTGCTCAATCCTCAAAATTTTAACCCAACTGAAAATTGTGTAAAAAAAGAAACCTACATTTCAACCCTCTTCGAATGCCGCAAAAGTTAAGCAACAAGTTCTAACATCATAGGCTTCTAACTGCCAAAATTGTTGGCAAGTTTTTGATGAAAATTTCCCCACCATAATGTCCCTAAATGTTCTTAAACATCTGTAAATCAACATCACTCCCTTCTGGATGAGGTTTAGATATTTAAACTGCTTGTTACAAAAGCTTAAACCAGGTGACAAAGTGCATTTAAGTTAAACAAGACACAACTAACAACTCAAACACAGAGAGTTAAAATAGTCAATTGTTTGTATAGCCTTACTAACTCCTCTGAATTGAGTATATGGCCTGCATCATGCTTGAAAGCCAAATGAAACCAATGTTTAGAAACCTAAACTGGGCTGTGTAACTAGCATTGTCCGCATCAAAAAGTTCAACACCAACTTCCATTTATTTGTTTTTTCATTTGCAAGGAAGACTGACTCATTTGGAGTAGGACATCTGTTTGACTTTTAAAATTGATCTTTTATATGTCCTGTGGCTCCATGAGCTTCGCAGTTTGACTAGAAATCCAAAGACCGAACTTCTACAATTATGCATCTTTGCAGTTAGCTTTTAGCTTTCCCTTAACCAATAAATAAACCCCAATATTGAGTTCAAAACTTTCAAAATAGTGAAACAGGATAATTGAACACCCATAGTATCAGCTACATGACCAAGTAACCGTATGTCAATGTGAGTATACTTCACCCACACTTATAGGTTAAAAGGGGTGTCAAAATATAATACGACCCGTTACGCTGATACAAATACGATACAAAATTATAGGATTTGAGCCTTTATTGAGCCATCCGTTTAGTAACTGAGTGGACCCGACATAACTCGATTAATAATGAATTGAGTATGTATGAAACCGATCAAAAGAAATATACGACATAACTCATTTATATATCAGTTATTCATAATTCATAATGATACACAACATAAATCCAATATTAATAAACAAATTAGTATGGGTGGAGTGTTTTTTAACATGATACCCTGCAAACCCTGACGCGAACCCGCCCCACCCGACATGAATGATAGGCTGTTAAAGCAATGTGAGGACAGAAGGCAACAAACCTTTGACTAGGAATAGAACGAGAATCCTGCTCGTCAAGTTTTAATGGTAACCCACGCGTTTTGCTAGATAACCCTGGTAAAATTACAATAAAATTTAACACAATTTCTTGCTCAACTTCATATTAATAATAAGGTTAAACAATTGAGCTTCCAGTGGGCCGTCAGTAATCTAGAACTGATTTTCGGAGATTCAAATTCTCGTTACGGTATAAAACTAACTACTGAACTTCAAAACTGAAACTGGAAAACGTACCACCTGTTGAGGAATCACCATAGGGGCTTGGCAAAGCTGAAACTATTGATCTCGTGGTGTTTCTGTGAGAAATATAAGGCCATGACTTTTAAAAGTAATGGACAAATGAATTGCAATTAAGCGACAAAAATGCAAAGAGAAATATCGAATACCTATGAGAAAATAGCGAAACGGACGAGGCTCTCTTCCGAGAAGCGATAGAAAGACTGAAAGACGCAGAGATAGCTGACGCTACCATTTTCGCAGCTCCACACACAGTAACACACACTCTGTGAGAGAGAGGGGTTTTTCCGTAAGATTGGGGAACCCGAATGGTGCAAATATTGGTTGCCCCGTTTAAATTGGGGCAACTATACAGGCGCTAAAATATGATAAGAGAATTACACCCAGATGCCCAGCGATTTGTCGATTAATCGGTTAGATTCGTAACATTTAAAATATTATACACACATTTTCTGAAAATATATTAGTTAATAAATTATATTCAGACCCTCCCAAGTTTGTAAACATATATTATTTAGATTTTTTAAGTTTAAAATATTACACTTATACCAAAAATATTTCAATCAAAGATAAAATATCAAATATTTTAAATTTTACAATTAATATTCATATTCAATTGTATTATTTATTGAAATAAAGTCAAAAATAAAAATTTAATTTTTTCTCAAAAAATCATAATTAATATACAATTATATTGTCTATTATAAAATAATCGAGCTACTCGAACTTGACTCGGGTTTAGTCTAGGTTCAGATTTAACTCATTTTCTAAACAAACCGAGTTTGAATATTTTTTTAGGCTTGCTTAGAAAAACAAACTTGACAGACTCAATCTCAATCTCAATTTCAATTTTAATTTTACAAAACTTGATTCGATTAACACTCCTAATAGGAGGGTCTCACTTGACCCACCATGTTGCAAGACAATGAGAAACTATTGGGTATAACGATTACACTATGTCGGCGTTGTCACGTGGTGTAATCGCTCAATAGTAATTTAGTAATTAGGCAAAATAGATTCAACTCATTCAAATAAACACCCCTCCATGTAAAATAATAACCGCCATATATCTAAAAAATGGAGTCTACTTGTCCACTTATTTATTTATTATTAGATTATTACACCATGTGACAATGCTCGCATGATGTAAATGTTACACCCAATATTTACTCCAATCTCGAGAGGATTATGAAAACCTAGCCAACCTCAAAAGTCATTTTGGGGAATGGTTCATCCAGAAACAGGAAAAAGTGGTCTATTTTGTCAAGGATTTGGCTTCTTGTGTTTGGTCCTCTGGTGGTCTATTTTGGTAAGTATGAGTTTTCAACATTCATTATTTTAAACTCGTACCGGTCTAGTTGGAGCGAACAATATTATACAATGCATGTCCGGAGTGTTACAAGTCGACTTATCATGGAAATGTTTCCTGTTAGGTCCCCAATCCCCATCCTCCTGTTCCTGCTTGGTTATGAATGAGCAGATGGGTTCATGCTCTGGTGCTACTGTGTAGTGCATGAATAGAACCATCACACTGACTAGCACCAGCTATGTGCTCTTGGGTAAGTAAAGCAGCAAGTTCATTTGCTTCATAGTTCTGTTTTCAGAAACTTATAAAATGTTCAAATTCTTTATTTCTGTTGAGAAAGGATAACAATATGTCCACTCGTCTCGGATTCGTGTCATGTCCGAACTGTCTATTGTTGAGTGTTAATCTTGTATTAACATGTATAATCGAGCTTCACTTACTGTATAACCACATTCATGCCAATTCATTTATTAAGTAGATTTAAGAGGTCAACTCATTATGACTTGAATTGTTAAGACTATTCCAATATCTGGTAACTATGAATCGATTTTGTCTTAGGATAACATATTGTATTAAGAATTGTCAATCCCCAATAAAGGAATCCTTTGCTGTGAACTCAACTTCCTGCAAATTGATAACAAGTAACAACCTAGCATATCGAATTGCACTGCTGTGAACATATTACAACTTCAAAAGATAAGAACACCCACAATCAGACCAGAAAGATCATATTACTAGTACTTCAAACCACAAACAGACTCAGATCTACATTGCAGAAGGGGATTGAACCCAGACAAGATTATCAGCAGGGAAGAAATGGCAAACAGGAGCACTTCCCGGCTTTATTCCGAGCATTCGAAAACCAGCATGATCATGATCCCACTGGGAAGTATCCATATGACAAATAGCAGCAGCATCAATTCTCTCTCCATTATCACCACCCAATAAAACCTTAAACACCTTGTTCTCACTCTCTTGCCAATGACAATAATAAATTGCATAAGGGTAAGGAATAGTATGACAAGCCACCATCTTAGGAGCTGAGATTTGTTTGGGAGCTTCCAAAAAAGTGTAGTTTTGTAGGAGAGTGGTGAGTTTTGTGAGGTGGGTTGTGGTTAGAACACCGACTTCGTTCTCAAATCCAAAGATTTTCTTGATTGAATCAAGCATGGATTCAAGGGAAGTTGCACAGAATTTGCTCTCTCCTTTGGCAGGTTCAAGTTCACATTGCTTAAGGGTCTCTTCCATGGCTTTGGCTTGTGGGGAGTCTGTAGAGAAGGAGAAGAATTTGAGAAGGTAGGGGAGGTGAGAGAATGAGAAAGGGATTGAATCAGCTTCTTCTCTAGGGAGAAGATGGGGAGAGCTAGAAGGATCTTTGATGGGGAAGTAGATGAGCATTTTCTTCCCAATTTTCAGATCATTGAGATTGAAGAACACATTTAGTGCAGGGTCAATTTGATCCATGTGGGATAATGGATGGTCATGTACATCATTTTCAAGGATTATTTCTTGAGCTTCATGGATGTGTTCATGATCATGGTTATCACCTTTATGAGCATAGAGTTGTAGATGATCTTCCATGGCAGGTTTTTGCATATCAGATAACTCTTTGCTAACAGTGTTCAAGTTTTTTGCTGGGATCTCCCTGGCGGTACTCAGGCCGGAATTCTGTAATCAAATCAATAGCAGATTTAGCTTCAAACCAATGATAAAAATGCTAACATTTTGAAAATATGGACACTTCGAAGCAGAGGATACTCCGTATCTGATACCATATCAGCTACAATACTTGTCGAATACTCGAGTTAACTATGGAAGAATATCAAAATTGCTTGACATGGCTGAAAACTCATACAAGATTCAGTTTTTTTTGGTGAAACTGGAATCATTATAATCTCATCTCCTTCTCTTTCGGTAAAAGAAAACGAAAGTTGCAAAAGATGTTTATCATATCTCAAAAGTATACAATACACAATAAGTCACCTGTAAAATCAGTAAAACACATAGGAGGAGGCTGTGAAAAGCAAATCCAGAAACCATCTCTTCTTTTCTTGAAGCTCCTTTCTGCTTTGTTCTGCTTCAGGAACTAGGAGACATATAATAACTAAATTAGCTTTAAAGTTGGCATAAGCCAAGGCACTTCTTCCACCCCACCCCCCC